AACTTATTTGGAAGTGGCTTTAGCTTCTTAGTGCTGTGCTTTAACCTGCTGAGCCTCCAGGGAGGGCCAGTAATGCTGTCATTTTATCATCAAAATGAATTGAATTAAATCAATGCATTCATGATAAGAATAAGAATCTTTTCAAAGTCTCCACAATAAAGTAAAAAATTCTGCTCCCTAGCTTTGTGATTTTACTCAAGTCACTTTACTTCCCTGGGTCTTATGTGCTATATTGGTACAGTTCACAACATAATTTAGATGATATCTAAAAAATCCTTTCATTTCTAACATTTGAATAATTTACTATTAAAATTCTTAAATTCTGATAAGTTTTGTCAAATGAGCTATTTTTGAATATAACTTTTCACTAGCATTCAACAAGGACATATTTGAGGAAACAAAAGTTTTTGTGTCCTAATAACTTCTAGAAGGTAATTCCAAAGGTTGCCTGATTTAAAGCAATCTAAAAGCAAGGCATTTTTTCTCAATTCTTGTAGGCCAAATGATGGCAGATGCAAAATACAAACACAAATGCAACCTTTGCTTTTGACACAATGTTCTGAGGCAGAGCACAAGCTTAGCACTGGCCTTGGTGCTGAAAATTAAAGCTGCAATCCTCTGGAGTCTGGCAATACTTTTCAAATCTGGTTGTACATGAGAATCATCTCAGAAGCTTATTAAATTATTAGATTGCTAGATGCCTTGTTAGATTTCTAATCCCTACCCCAAAGATTTTAATAACCTTGGTCCTTAAGAATCACTACTTAGGGATATGAATTCTTAAAATGTTCCTATACCTTCTAGACCACACAGAGAAAGAACAGATGGGAAATAGAATTCAACACTTTTTTTCTGCTACATATTTCAAGCTTTCTTCTGGAATGAGAAAAATAATCAAAACTACTGGCAGATATCATGATTTAGGCTTATATTGTGCTTGGTTAGTGCTGCATTTTGTTTTTACTTTTGGTTTTCAGAATTATTTTACCTCTCTTTTTTTAAAGTTTTATTTATGTATACATACAGAGCTGCAGAGGTGCAGGAGCCATGAGAGGATTCATCAGAAACAGAATGGAGAGCAGAACAGGCAGATTGGTGAAGTACACTACTGAGGGGAGCAGTGGATGAGACAGGAGAGGTCTGCTGCACCATGTGGATCACCTCTGGCGCTGGGGATCAAACTCACACTGAACCCGTTGTGTCACCAGGGAGGGCCCTATTTTGCTTCTTAAATTCCCAGAAAATCTGTTAGCTGACTTCAGAAATCATGTCACACATTAGTTAACACATAAAATTAGAAGCTTCTTGCAATCACTGATATAGACCTTGCAATCATTAACAGACTTTTCTTGTAGAGGCTTTTTAACCATTTGTGCAGATATGGCTCAGAATTACCTGCAGGCCTTAATCACCTATTATAAACACAGTGCAGTGAAATGTTATCAGAAGCATAATTTGAGAATAAATGCACACATGCATATATAGGGCAAATGAAGCTTACCTAAAAATGTATCTGCCAGAATGATAGACTGTGATGATAAGGCTGCACGGAAACCTTTACTTTCAGAAGGAATAATAGTTGACTGGCATACAAATGCTCCTACCAAATTCGTGTAATCATCTGACCCTGATACCATTTCCTTTACTGTAAAGTCTGTTATATTGTTGGTACAGAGAGCCATCTTCTTCCCCTAGGAAAACAAAGTCATAAAGGTGAAGTAGTATTGAAAGTCAGTTTCTAAATTGGATCCCACTTATCCAGTGATTCTTGTGAGCAGTGGCTCTTTCTTTTCCACAGAGATTCTGATTTAATTGATGTTGTATAAGTCAAAATATTGATGCACCAATATTTTTAAAACATTCTTAAGGCAATTCCAATGTTCAACCAGGGCTGCTAGTTCTTGCAATAACAGTGAATACAGTAATTCAAGGCTGAACTGACTGTTCTTCCTATTATAAGAATTTGTGCTGGATGAAAGGGAGAAAATTCATATGTGAAATTCAATTTGTTATCAATGCCCACAAAGAGATGACAAATTGCTAGGGAAGTTTTAAATACCAAGGCAAAAGACATGCTCTTCTCTCTCCTTCATACACCTATGACAGAAAGATTGTATGAAACCTGGAGAAGAAAACATAAAAGCCATGTTGCAGCAAAATTTTATGGCAACATCTAAATTCTAAAAGGCAGGTTACATTAAGGTCTTTACCCACCTACTTTTAGATTTGATAATATGCACCTGCTCAACAATACAGTAAATTGAGGGAAACACAGATGTTTACATTTTTAGTCACTGTAGAGTAAATGGACGATATCACCTATAAAAATCACAAGACTTTATAGTATGTTTAAATATTCTGTGACTCCACTGCTGAATAATTTGTGATAAGAAATGTATAAATGAACAATATTTTATTTGAGATGTACAGGATGCACAGATGGGCATAAATAAAAAAGTATTTTTTTTTCTTAGAGTAGCTAGTAATCCAAACCTGTAAATTTTTCTCCCTACACCAAGCCTTCTAGCTATATTACAGGTGCACTATATTTTTTCTAAGCTTAAATTAAATCAATGAAGATGAAAGCAATGGAATGTCAAGAAGAGGGAAGTGATAGAACAGAGCAATGGTAGAACTAAGGAACGGAAGAGGAAAACAGTGGTAATGGGAAAGAAATGAAAATTAAAAAGGGGGCAGAAGAAAGATTTAAAAAAGAGAAGAAATGACAAAAAAATGTTACAGAGAGGAAATGAAAAGGGGGCCTTCTCATCCCGGCTTCACCTAATGAGGGTGCATGAGCAGTGAGGGGAAGCTAGAGACTTGGAAAAGATCTGAAAGGTAACTTGGAACTGGAGAGATGTGAAGTGGTGTTTGCTTCTCAGCTCTGGGCTTGTTATCAGGAACTTGGGGGATACCGAAGGAGATGTGGAGTTGAGATACTTGTAGAAGATATTTGGAAGAGACGTTAGTGAAGGTCACATGGGAAGCTGACAATGGCCACCATTACCTTGATTTGTACACTGATTTTGCTCCTTTCATCTCAGATTTGCCTGTTGGATAGCCCCAAGGGAAAGCACAACAGGACGAGTGTCATCACATGCAAAATGAATTGACATAGACATTTGTTCCTTCTTATTGGCATTTTACTTTTGGACCAACATTTTTTGCTTTTTAAAACATGAAATTGACAATATTAACACCAGTAAAGCTTTCTCAAACCATAACTGCCTACCTACAAAGCAGGTGGGATTGACAAGCCTGATCCACCTTTACAAATGAAAGATCTTCAAAACACTAATACTACAGCTCCAAGCTTTGGAGTTCAACTAACTGGGGAAGTACTCATTACAGTCAGATAAGGTAGCCCTTGTGTAAAAAGCTGCCAAAATGCTAGGAGGCAACAGAAGATTGACATATCAAAGTTTGGTTTCTGATACTTACTGTTCTTTTCTATGGAGATTTTATTGGGCCATCAACAGAAAATATCCAGTCACTCAGGGCCAAAAGCTACCTCCATCTCACTATGGCATCCAGAACTCACCTCATGCCCACATAAGCTGATATTGAAGAAGTGGAAGTATTTTGTTCCTTTGGAGGTAAAACTAGGGCCATTCATTAATGAGCCCACACTGCTGAGGTTGCTGAAGTCATAGTGCAAACTTTTATTTTCTTTTTCATGGTAGAAAAAGCAGTCACTATAGCAAACTGAGTGATCCTTTGATTAAAGATGAAGAAATGCCAAAACAAACAAACAAAAATTGCAGAATAAAAAGTATTAGTTTCTTGAAAATAATTTGTTTCAAAAGTAATTTAGAAATTGAGTAATTTTTTCTCAGTAGTATACTTTACCATGTTAGTATAGAGAATTTCTAGATGCTAACTCAACTTTTCCAGCTACAGTAAAGATTAAAAAAATGTTTTTAAGAGTAAAGTTATTCTAATATTATGTTCTTATAGAAAGCTATTTTAATAAACAGCCCAAATTTTCTATTATGTCATTTTCAGTGCACAATAACAACTACATTCTCCTTCATCCACAGATAGCATGAACCTTTCCCCTTAAAATGTCTTAAGATACTGCTATTCTCCATACATTCCTACAATCAAACCACAGAGTAGTTTGCTTGCTCCACTTTAATGTAATACACAAGAAATCAGTTTTACTGCTTTTAGAAAGTAGTGACTAAGGTACTTCTCCTAATATTTTATGTCCCAGGAGCTAGTACTTTGATGGCCCATATTAATTGCTAAATAATTTTAAGAGCAGAAAAATCAAAAGGAAATACCAGTCATTAGCAAATAAAAAATAGCAACTGCATAGCAACCTCTACAGCTCCTGGAGAAACAGTAAGGGCAATCCTTGCCTTCCTCTATTATAGTATGTGCTCTGCAGATAACTGATGTTCTTACCTGAGTGCTTCTACTCCCAGGCCCACATGGAACACAAGCCTCTTTGCCATAGACCTGATGTATAGACAGGTAGGTGTCAGGTGGACACTCCTTGCACAGGTTGGTTTCTTTCTCAATGTAGTGGCCTGGGGGGCAGGGGACACACGATGAGCCGGACTGTTCAGAACCGAGGGCACAGGCACGGCATGAGGACGCCACCCCATCAACTGCATTAGTAGCAGTAATAGAATAAATCTTCACCATGTCATTGATGAACCGTCTATTCTAGAAAGAGAGCAGAAAGTAATGACTTCTGCCTTAGTGTTTCATTGGCAGCCAGATTGTTTTATGTTGATATCACCAAAATAAGAGCCTAATAATTTGTTGCTGAGTGTGGATTAGTATCCCTGCTTTGTTCTTTTATCACTACAAGCTAATTTTCATGGCATTCCGGGAATTTTTGCTGCAATCACCATGAGAAATGCCCTAATTGGCACAAACTTGAGCATATTATAAGCCTTGCATCTAGAGCTAGTATGGTTTAATAAAAAAGCAACTTATCCCTCATTGTTTATTCCAAAACAAGTCAAAAAGAAAAGAACTAAACGAAGCTTAAGTCTAATGATACAGTAAGATGCTGACAGTGCTGCAGGCTGGACAAGCTTGGAGTACAGATTAGAAAGTCTGGGAAGACTCTCTCAGCCCTCACCCAAACACTGTGTAATACCGATGAAGTCACACCACTTCCCTTCTTCTGCCTCTCTGGTACCTTTCCTAGACAACATACTCCAATTTCCTAGACAACATACTCCAATTTCTACAGAGCAGTTATGAGGGCAAAACATGGGGTCTTACTATACTTGTCCTTATTGTGACCTTGTTAATAAAGTCTAGTTATGACCAAGGTGTAGGCACCACCCTACTCTATCAGTACAGAGCTTTTTGTCTGGGACAAAAACAAAGGCAGGTAAGGAAGAAGTAGGATTCCATTGTATGTCCAACCTGCACACCACAGTAATGTGAACAAGTGTAAAGAACAACTGGCATCAAGTAAAGTCTGGAGAATGATCTCCCAGTGAAAACCTGAAGAGAGAAAGAAAATGTTCCATTTGCCACCACAGCTTTAGGTAGCTTCTGAACAAGTGGTTTACCTTGTTCTCACCTTGGGAAGGTCACATCTGTGGAGATCCACAAAAATAACAGTCCTTCTACTATTGAAACGTACAATGGAATTTACTTAGAGGAAGATTAAGTTGTATTCTAGCAAGGAAAGTCAGAGAGAGTAAATAATTCTGCATGATAACCCAATCATGAGTACAGACATACTCTCTAGGCTATAAAAGGAGATATTGCTATAGTGAAATAATAAAGCAACATCAGTTAATGGCTCTGAGACAAATGTCAGATCATTCAAAGAGAAAGTCAGTCACTGGCCTTCCTAACATCTCAGACAACCTTAAAAGTAAGCTTTATACAGCCCTTATATCACAAAATTAAACATTGCTCTTAAAAATTTGCAACTATATTTGTTCAGAGTACAGAAGACCTCAGACATTATGCCAGTCCACTTCACATTTTTTTAATCTTAAAAACATACTGTTTCATACGAACACCTCTATAACTAAAAGACTAATTTAACATCAATTATAAGAAATCTTTTTCAACAGGAGATTTGAGCAATCAATTTATAAAAGTATCTACATGGGGGCATTATCTTTGTGTTACAAAAAAGAGAAGTGTTGGTAACTTACATCTTGACCTTGGTTGGTTCTCTGGAATGCCCATGTAAATGTGAATGTTGCATTCTTAAAGATGACATGGGTGTAAGCTTGCTTTTCTTTGGTTCCGCCCCATGATTCCACCACATTGGTACTTTTCCTATTGATATCCTTAAATACAAGACAAAACACAAAAAAACAAACTCAGCATTAATATACAAATATATATATGTATTAAATATATGTTTGCATTTACAGTAAACCATGTAGGGCTTGTAAATATTTATCTGTAACTCCTAAAACACTAGAATTCTCAAGATTTCACTTCGAGCATCACTGACTAAGTAATTCCAATCTATCAATCACACTGTCAAAACTTGAAAGTTTTAAAGTAATAGTTTAAGAGGTTTGTGTGGGAGGGAGGGCAGCTGGAAGAGAGAAAGAGAGAAATACATTTAGAAGGGGAAACAATCTCTGAGACTTATCACAGTAAACTTCTGGGTTCCTCACAAAATAGCAAAGGTTTCCAATTTTATCTTTTTCCTTCAGAGATTTCTGATAGGCAGCTCTTGTACAGGGGTTGTAAGTTTCCCCTGAATTATACTTGCAACTTCTAGGCTGACACAAGTACAGGCTCACCAGAATGCTATTCTATGGTTATCAAATACTCTTTTGCTTACACCTGAACTTCAAAAAGATGAATCTGTGTAATACTTTACTTCTTATTTCCTTAGTTAAATTCAGTTTTTAGTATATCATATATGCATGATATTCTTACCAATATGCAAATTATTAGCATGGTTACAAAGTAAGATAAGTCAATCAAAGCAAGTAATAAACATCTAACTTACTTGAAAGGAAAACTAAAGCTAACTCTGAATTTCCTAATTAGCCTTCCCTGAAAAAGTCTTGACAGATAATGCAGGAATGTAATGTAGTGGCATGAACTCAAGACAAGTCTCTTTCTTCTTCTGACCATAAACACAGAAGTCAAATATGTTATAAAGCAAGCAAATATACCACCAACAGATACATCTTAAATTCATGCCAGAGCTAGGAAAAAATAAGAATGTTTTAGCCACATGTTAACAAAAATCTCACATACCAAATCACCATACAGAACATTTCCCATAAGAAGAGCATAATATATAGTCGTGATTTACTAGACACTCTGTTACTCGATGTTTATGTCTACAACAGATGAATGAGTTCATGGTTTGCACACATGTACACAGATCATGCATGATCTGTATGGTGACTTGGCTGCTTGGTATATGAGGATTTTTGTTAACATGTGGTAAGAACACTATTTTTTCTAGCTGTGGCACGAACTCAGGATACATCTCTTTATAGTTTGATTACTTTATAACATGCTTTTATTTCTATGTCTTGATATAGATAAGAACAAAAGGAAGATAAGCATTCAAAATATTAGAAATAAAAGGTATGGGTCTTCCTCTAACAAATTACTCCTCCTAAGAGAGGTGAGTAATAACAGTAAGTTTGGTAACAGAGACGGGGGTGGTACAAAATGTTCTACAGATGCTATGTGTTCATAGATCATTGGTTCTCAAACTTTATTGTACATCAGAACCATCAGCAAAGCTCACTAAACTATAAATTTATTTGCATTCCCAAAGGTTCCCACTCAGTAAAACCAGGATTAGGCCTGAGAAATGTGCATTTATAACAAGTTCACCAGTAATATTGGAGATGCTTGAACAAAGGCAATAAAAAGGCACCAAGAGTAAGTGGATATATATGTTACAATACCACTACTGGTTTTATGTTTTATGTCAAGGTATCTTGACAGCAATCTGGATAAGAGGCAGGTGAATAGAGTGGATAAGAGACTACCATAAAGCAATTCTGTTTCAGAACAAAATAGTCTGCCTTCATTTAAACCATTTTGAATCACAAATAAATGTTTAAATTGCCACATCTCGAATATATTGGAGGAAGCTGCATTAACTAATACTAAAAGGAAAGAGTAAAAACAAAGCATGTCTATCAAGTTGCTACTTAACTACTTAACTAAAATATTAGCCAGTACCTGCTAAGACCATAAGAGGTGTTAATAAATTTTGAGTTGCTATTTTTTTTTCAATCTAGTAGCTGAGATTTATGTGACATCTAGGGAAGAAATGGGCAAAACAAGGAAGACTTTTCTTTCTTCCCAGTGCTCTGCACCTCCATTATTTTCTGATCTCATTTATCAACATATGTTCTCCCTCCTGACAGCTTAAATTGCTAAATAACGGGAGAGTTTTCATTCCAGTGACAGCATATTTTATGAAGAAATTTCTACCAGATTAATATTCTGTGGCTTCTATCAGTTACTTGGACCTCCTCATTCTGTCTCTCTATAGAAATGAATGCTTTATTGTGAAATTCATTGCACAATTCTTAGTGACTTCTCTAGACATTTTTACTGCTTTTGGAGTGTCTTAAAAAGGGAAGAAAAATTAGATTTTTATCCCAATTTGCATAAATAATTTCATACTTAAAAGAGAATACTGAGCTTAAAAATCTGCCTTGAAAGCCATTCTTTCACTTACCACCATGAAGTATAGAACACAGTCTGCAGAACAGAGAGTCTCAAACACAAATGTTATTCGTCCTAGTTCAGAACCCATGGCTCCAGTCATAGATGTTGGTGGCCTATTTGACAGATTTAAATGATTGTATTTATAGTATACTCTAAACACAATCTTGAACACAATTCAGTCACTTTTTCTCATTAAGTCAAAAGTCATGCTCTTCTTTTCCCCTAATCTATTGCTTCTCTCACGCCAATTCCTTCCCCATTCAATCTCTGTATGACCTTATCTTTTACTCTAACATGGAGTCTGCATAACCTTGGAGAGATTCCTGAATCTTTGCCTATCCTAAAGCAAGAAAACAGTCCTCCTGGGAAATTTTAATATGAAAGACTAAAGCAAAGTGGGATCTAAATTTTTTTAACATATCACTTATAAAAAGAAACAAAAATAAATCTATAAATCAAAAGGTACTTCTGCAAATATCTTGGAAGAAGACTTCTTCATTAAGCATATAAGATCACGGTTATTGCAACATTTGGGTAGATACTGCTAAAATTTTTAGCACCATCATGTAATATACAACTAACAGTTATAGTTTTTCAACTGCTGATTCCATAGAAATTTAAATATCACACATTATCCTACAACAGCTTGAATTTTCTAAGTACATCTTAAGATTAATTACAATGGCAGTTTCACTTCATAAATTTTTGTTGGGAAATAATCGTGAGAATTTTACAGAAGAGAATCAGAATTGATTTTCCTTACTTAAACCCCGGGATGTGCAAGTTTAAGATCAGGTAATCATTGTCAGAACCTCCAGCCCCACTCTGGATATGATCTCCAGCCACCTCCCAACCTGGAAATTATGAAAGCAAATTTTATTAGTAAAAGTCCATTAGTCATTGCCTTAATCCTTTTATATAAGTTTTCTTTTTTTTAAGGACTATTGTGTTTATGTTCAAAGTTAGAAATACTCCAAAAGCATTCCTTTTTAAACTGTAGTTGCCAATTGTAACTAGATACCAATAAAGATGTTCCATTTGATTCCCTTGGAACAATCAAGTAATGCATATGTTACATTAAACAGCTTTCTCAATCAAGTATGAATTATTTTCTTAAATAAAACATAAGGTCTTTATCCACTCTAATATAGTTAGATGGAAAAATTATAGTCTTCAGGTTACAAATGGGAAATAGAAACAAGAAATTACTTAATAAAGATTTGAGGTCTGGGGTTTTTCCATATATTTCTCTGCACTGTTTTCTAGAGTGACCCCAGTTCTAAAATCATTCATTTATTTAATCAGTCAACTGTCATTCATTCATTGTGTGGTAAAAATACTGTGCACAAGGGATAGAAAGATAAGGCTACATCCATTGTCACTGAGGAGTCAGCAGACTGTGAGAGACAGACACTCTCTAGCACCTGTCAACTGCGTGGGGTGATGGAGTAGCAAAAAAGGTGAGGGAAGAGGGTGCTCTGCACAAAACAATCAACACATACCATAGGTTGAAAGGGCCCCAACAAGATGAGGAAAGGAGAAACAGCCTCTTCATACCATCAAATAAATTACTAATTAATGGTAATGTCTCTTGTTCACACTCCATCACTAATGGAAATCTGCTGTTTCAATGGACATGGGAGCTAAAAATTTCTAACACATTACTTTACAGAAAGAAACAAAGAAAAAATAAATTTATAAATTTAAAGATACTCTTGCATATATCTGGGAACAGCACCTCTTCATTAAACATCTAAGATCATGGTTATTATAACATGTGGATTAGACTGTTGCTAAAATCTTTCAGCGTCATTCAGCACACAACTAAGAGTTACAGTTTCTCAGTCACTGAGCATATCAGTGATATACAGTGAGGATGGTATTTAATGTCAGTATTAGATTTGTGGTTGGTCGGTTTTTCAAAGCTATAATCTACCATTACAGAAAGGTTCTTTTTAAAAATGAATAAATCAAGCTAAACCTAAAGTAATCTACTTGCTTACAAGAGAAATGCCAATTGTTCTGCTATTCAAAGGTTCATGTTGTTGACAAGAGTAACAGAAGGATCAACTCCTAATGCTAAGAGTTGAATAGCCAAAACAGTCTGACCCAGAGGGATACCAGGCCCTTGCCTGTAATTTATAGCATGAGAGGCATTTCAGTTTAGTGAGACTGGAAACTTTTAGTGGGTAAAGAGGAAGAGTGATAGTCCCATGAGGAAATCTACATCAAGAAATGGAGAACTTAACAAATGTTTCTCTAAAATCACTTTCTAGTGTTCAGAAATGTCAAGAGGACAGACAAAATTAATATTCCTCACTTTTGACCACTGCCTGTTGCTACAGGTTGAACTGTGTCTCCCTAAAAAGACAAGTTAAAATACTAACCCTCAGTACATAATTTGAAAATACATTCTCTAGATATAATCAAGTTAAAATGAGATCATTAGGGTGAAGCTACTCACATATAACTGGAGTCCTTACAAGAAGAGAGAAATCTGGATTTACACAGAGGAAGACACAAGTAAAGACACAAAGATACACACTCACTAGGAGCAGGCAGCCATGTGAACATGGAGACAAACTGAAATTATGCAGCCATAAGCCAGAGTGCCTGAAACTACCAAAACATAGAAGTGAAAAGAATGGATCTTTAGAATCTTTGGAAGCAACACTGTTCTGGCTTCACTTTGATTTTGGACTTTGTTTCTGGTCTCCAGAGTGGTGACAGAGTCAATTTCTGCTTTTCAGATCACCCCATTTTGGGTACCTTACTGCACCAAAATGGAGTATTAAGATCCATAATACACTTAGCAAAAGACATAAAATAGAAACAATATAAGAACCCAAAGCTTCGCAACTCAGACATGGAATTCCAGATTGCCAATATGAGAGAAAAGCTGCAAGTAGAAGATTACACCCAGGCCAATTATTGAATAAGAAGAGAAGGACAATAACTGCCTAGAAAGGAAAACAAGGTTGCAGGGGTTAAGGGGTGGGAGGTATTTAAGATATAGACCATCACCATCCAGAAGGAATATGCAAGCCACAAATGCCAGTAGGACTGCACCAATGTCACATTAAATAAAGTAAAAAGATGCAAAATTAATTTTAATATATTTTAATTTAATCCAACATATCCCAAATGTTGTCCTCTTACTATATTAATTATTGGGCATTTTACTTTTTCATAATAAATATGGATAAGCTAGTGTGCAATTTACATTATCAGCACATCTCAGTTCAAACTGGCCACATTTCAAGTACTCATTGTGGATAATGGCTGTTGTGTGGAACAGCACATCTCAAAGATATTAAGGCAGAAGACTGAACACAGAGTACCGACATTAGCAGAAACCTAAGAAACACTGCCTTTTAGTGAGCTCTTAGCATTTCAATCCACTCTTAATCATAAAAACTACGTAGAATAGTGTTGGCAAAAATGTGAATTAAAAAACTAACTTGTAATACTGACAAATATTTTTATTTTTATATATTTCTTGCTAGCCTTTGTCTATGTGCATAGTTATATACAGGTGCATACATTCTGCATTTAGTTTTATTTCTCAGAGCAAATCTGTTCCTATATACATTTTACAGAAAAAAAATTAAGAATCTTTTGTTTTTATAATTATTTATATTTAACTTTGAAAGTTAAAAAAGTTTTAGTGATGAAAACTGAAAATATTTTATAACCTCATCATTCACCTGGAAAAAAAGATGCTGGTAACATTCTTGCATGCATCTGGTATGTATTTTTTGATGTATAATAATTTTTAAATCATTGAGATCTTATTTTATTAACATTTTTATCATGTATTTAGAAACTAACATTATTTCATAAGCATTTTTCATTAAAAATACCTTGCCAACAGGTGAATGACTGAATAAATAAAATATCATGAGAATAGATGTCATTTATTTCCATAGTTTACTAATTTGTTTGCCCTATAAGAATTTCCTCCTGTTGACCACATGTCAATTTAACCATTTGGATTGTTTCTGCCTTTTTGCTTGTGTAAATGACACTGTACATTTTCTTATGATACAGTTTTTCTGTATTTCAGAATTTATGCAGTAAAGAATGCCAATAAAAACAGTTTTCAGGTCAAGCACATATATTTTAAACTAGTATTTTGCACTATTATTCAGATTTTGAAAGCAATATGAATCAATGAGGAATTATTGAGTACACTGAATTAAAAACAAATATATTAAGCTAAATGGAATGGTAATTAAGACTTAAAACCCACCCACAACCATGTAATGATCTCTTTATATATTTTTTGTTTTCCTTTTCTAACTTGTCCCAGTGCACATATGTTTAAACACACCCAGACTTTTTACCGTATTCTATATTTTCTGATATTTCTGCTTAGCGTTGTCTTCTCATTTTCCTAACTAGCATTAATGGCAAAAAATCCCATTAAAAATAACCTCTGCATGTAACTGTAATGATCCTATAATACATAATACAAAATTCTATTTAATCATATCCATTGTTGAAAAGATTTTCCCCTAGTCTTTCATTCATAAGTAACATTAAATTAACATAGTCATATATAATGTCTTTTTTTTTTACATCCCACTCTTTCCTTGGTATACATTCCCAAAATGAAATTAAGGAGTTTGAGTATGAGAACACCCAAAATACTTGAAACACTGCCAAACTATTCTCCATATGACTGCCATTTTTAATGATTATGTAATATTCATCTAATTAGTATAGCATAATTTTCAAAATGATTACTTTATTGGTGAATATTTAGAACAGAGCAGCTGCTTGCATAGCACTGTTTTGTTTAACAGCATTTCATAACAGTATTTCATAATAATATTGACAAGAAAAAAAAAATCAAATCCCTGCAAGGGCCTCTCTCTGTCTATATGTTCTCCTCATTTCTCCAGGTACTCAGCCTCCTCTCAGTCCCAAAGATGACACTTTTAGGTTAACTAGCACCTCTAAAGGGTCCCAGTCTACATGAGTGTGAGTGTGGGTGTGAGTGTGTCCTGTGATAGACAGGCTTCCACCCATCACTGAGTCCCAATCTGCACTTGGGACTACTGAGATGGAGTCCAGCCACCAGCCACCCAACACTCAAAAAAAGGCAAAATAAATTAGATTCTTACATGTAAGTCATCTGATTATGACTCCACATTTACTATTTTACATAAGTGGTCAAATGATAAAACTGAAGGTCCACACACACAGATTTTTGAAGAGTCGACTGCCAGAGTCTCTGCTGCCAAAATATATGATGTAGGCTGATTTTAAACTCACCATTCATTCCATCACATTTTGAATTCCCAACGTTGAAACAGGATGTTTTCATGTTGCCAGGAAGGACATTCCACCATTTATATTCAAACCCAAGTGCAGGCTCTGTTCCTGCTGGACATGGTCTACATTCTATAGGAGACAAGCAGAGCCAACAGTTATATTTAAAATGCATCTGGACAGCTTTCTCTTCTTCTCTTCCAAGCACTACTAAATTTAAGTTAGCACAGAGGGAAATGGGAATAAAAAGATATTGAGCCAACAATTTCTTTAAGAACTAATAACTTTTCTAACAAGAAAAATAATTCTGGAGTTAGCATATATGTTATATTGACTAATATGGGAAAGGATAAATACAAAATACTTTGCAATAGTTTTTAATATCTTACTGGAATAACAGCTAATACTGAATTATCCCTTCACAAGAAAAGAAATTCTGAGGCAAGTTCTCTTACATGTGATGTCAAAATCAATTCCCTTCACTATAATGGAGGGAACATCTTGTCCTTCCTACTGCCTCTTAAATTTAATAAAATATTATACTATTTAATGTGGGGCTGAATTTTAATTTGACTTGAAATTCAACTCATTGGCTATACTAGAAATTTTTCTGGAAGTTCAGAGGATTGGAAAAGTTTGGTTTACAAATTAAGCTCATTTAAATTAATATCTGCAACAATGAAAGGGATGGACTTTTCCAATCATTTCTAAATTTAGCCAAAACACTTTTTATTATCATATTAGTAAGAGTAGGAATAAAGAGAGAAAATGTTCATTGAGCAAACACTTCCTAGTACCAGAGTACTAAGGAGGCATTTCATGTAATCTGCCCTATGATGGTAAGCCAGGCATTACTATCCACAATCTTATATATGAAAAAGCTAAAGATCAAAGGTTTAAGTAACTTAGATAAATCACAATATTGGTTGCCTGAAGGAAGTGGATTCAAACTCATCTCAATTTGACTCCACAGTTCTTTCATGCCTATTTCCAGAACCCTAGATATTAAGCACAGTTATGGTTACGTTCAAGAAAAATATATGCAAATAAAATGCTTTGTAATATCTTTCTATTAAAACTAAAAAAATTCTATAACCACTTTCTATATCATTTGTTAAATAACAAAATTTTCTAAAATGTACACTTTGAAACAATATTATTTACGTACTTTTTAATTGCCACAGCATCAAAATAAACAATTTTTGGAATTGTTATAACACAAAGTGTTATTTACTATTCCAAGAGTGAACTTATATTGTATTTTTGCATCCGTAAGTGTACACATACACTAGAAAAGGAGTACTTAATCACAAATTTGGTATAATTTTCTTATCATTATATAGAGATAGAGAATCATCCCTTTAATAGTGTATCACACAAAAAGCCATTAGAAAACTTTTCCAATGACTGTTAAATAAGTCACTGCCACCTCATAATTCCGTATTTCTCAACTATTCTGAAAAATTTAAGAAAATCATGTGATTTAAGCAATTCTTTCATAAAAATAATTAATAACAAGGTAACAAAATTATTTTGCTAAAGGTCCAGTTCTTGGACCAACTGACAGCCTACCCTTTGTTCCATCTGAAAACATTCCAGGAGGGCAGGGGTGGCAAGAAGAAGATCCATTATTATAAAATCCCGGGTTGCAAGGTGGACAATCCTTCTTCTCTCCAGAAGGGGGCAATCTAATAGCATCTGCAAGATCCTCCCGGCAGATTTTTGGCTCTATCCACTTGTACATTATCTGTGTCTGAAAAAAAAAAAGGGCGGGAGGGGGGAAACAAACTTGCATGTCAAACATGCTTTCTAGACACAAAATGTTAAACTGAAAGCCTAAAAAATTCCAAATAGTGACCAAATAAAAGGGATTAAAAAAGTCAGCTGAAGAAAATATAAAATAGTTAACAAGAGAGACAAAAGAAAACTACTGTGGTGGAAAAAAATTATTTTTTATTATTTATTATTTTAAACCCTAAGCTACAGGCAGCCTTACCTCATACATGTATCTCTTCATGAATACCACTTTAAAACACAGAACATGTGATTCTAGACATTTGTCTCTAGCCACTCATTCATTTAATTCTGTAACTCATGAAAGTTTCTATGCTGACACTATTATTTATTTCATTTTGAGACTTCTACTACTCTCTTTCTTGCCTCATCCATAGCACATATTATCAGGCTTTGCAAACAGTGATAACAAAAGGAGATGTCTACTTTTTTTTTTCTAAGAATGTATCTAGTTTTCACATTTCAATCCTGTAAATTCATAAGTGCTAGTCATTTCTGTCAGCCTTATCCAATAACCTGATGTTAGATTATAAGATCTGTAGCTAAAACATTAATCCCGAGTCTCCTGGGCTCTGTTGCATGTTCTCTGCACATTAATAAAAAGGGAGTATGTCTTCAAGGAGAGTCATCTATTAAATTCTTTTAATTCTCATTCATGCATACAACCCCATACAAAACAAAATATAACAAAAAAGTTATAACCCAAGCAAATCCAGAAAAATTTTGTTAATAAAATTACTATCATTTTAAAACCAGAAGCATTAAATGAGTGGGTGATAAAAAAAACAAAATTGATATGCTCGATAGAAAAATATTCTGTGTGCAAATAAAAAGGTAGCCTTTTCCCCCATAAATACAGGCTTTAAAAAGAGACTAAATGTTTCCTTTGTTACGTATATAATATGCTGAAAGTATTCTTTCTCCTTTAAAACAATTTCTGCAATAAGGTTAATATTGAAGCTGGAGAACCAAAATTAAAGGCAATTATCTAGTTAGTTTAGTTAATAGAAAATCACATATATTAAGCCCTTTAGGACACTCAATTTCATTCTCAACTATTCACTTTTGAAAGTGAAAATTACCTTATCTCAGGAAAAATGCTTAAGAAAATGGTTTAAACGTGCATCAACAGAATTACAAGTAACTTTTCCTTTTTGCAACTCTTCTTGCATTTATTTTATGGCCTATGGCATCAGTTTAACCAGTCCCTTCACCCATCTGCCTCTCTCATCATCTTTAAAATGATGACTCTTCCTGCCGCAGTTTCTAAATCACTGAAAAAATAAATTAGACCCTATGTCCATAAGGAATTCCAAATTCCCCTAAGCAAGACAATATAATTCAGACAACTGAAGCAAATTAAACATCATTATAGTGGAAGGATTGTCTTTTTGCAAATTCTTGCTTAAGTACAGAAAACAAATCTCCAATCTTAGTCAATTAACAAATTTGCTGAATTATTTTTGACATTAATGAACAATACTATTGAGTTACAGTGAGCTACTGCATTGTTGGGAATAGTTGGTTCCTAGGTGGGAGGGGGCAGTGCTAAGACTGAACAGATCACTGATCCTGGGGCCTCATCATAAAATCTCCCACCACTTTGAGAGTTTGAGATCATTAACCTAAATATTCATAAAAAGGCAAGTCTGGTTTAGAGCTATTAAACAACTTGCCCAAAAGTCAGTTTATAAATAGTAAATAGTAAAGTAAATAGTAAAGTAGCACTACTCAAGGAGACTCAGTTTGTAAGAGTAACAATCACAAAATATGCAAATACATTTTTAACATGTCAGCTAACAACAGGATTTTTTTTAAAAAGATTTATTTATTTATGTATCCAGAACTGGGGTACAGGCCAGAGGTGCAGGGGTGGTGAGAGGCTTCACCACAGACAGAGTGGGGAGCAGAACAGGCAGATCATCGAAGTACACTGTTGAGAGGAGCAGCGGGCAGGTCAGGAGAGGTCTGCCATGCCATGTGGTCACCTTTGGGGCAGGCGGGGATCGAACTCATGCTGTAGTAGCTTTAGTTTCTTAGTGCTGTGCTTTAACCCACTGCGTGGCCACCAAGGAGGGCCAACAGCAGGATTTTTAAGTCAAGCATGGTAAATGTTTAAAAATTAGAAAATGTGGACCAACATTTAGACATTTAGAAGTCAAATTTCAAATACTCTGCAGTAAAATTTTGTTTACAAAGCTACTTGGTTCACTTGGCAGACTGTTTCTGTGCCTCTCCTTCTAATGGGAACAGATGCTTCCATGTCTGGCTGGCTGGTGAAAGATAATAATTAATATTAATGATACTTAGCCTCAGATGGCTTGCTATGCAGGTGAAAAACCAACAATCCATTCTATAACAAATTGAGATAAAATTATAAAATATTTTATGAAACAAAAAGCCAATAAAGCAAAACTTAACAGATTTCCATTAAGATCACAGAAGAGCTCTGGTGCCCAAGTATATTTATCATAAGCATGAATACCATAGATTTTAAAGAAACACATAAAACTATCTATTGGAAGCTGGTTCTTATATTAAAATAAAATTCCAAAGGAAAGATTCTAAATTTGAGAGTAGATTTGCCCACTGTTCTTTCCACTGTTCCTGCACAAATGCACTAACACTTTGTAGATGGGCTAAATTCACCAGAGTCAAAGTACAGGAGGTTGAAATTGTCACTCCAACCTGCCTGCCTGTGCCCCTGGCATTCTTCCTTAGATGTTCTCACACCAGCAGGATGTGGCTTGCTACCCTGCCTTTGACCCTTTCAGTTGCAGACCTGGGCAACTTGATATATCCATATATTAGGTGATATTCATTTATTAAATGATGATATCCATTTATTAATTAATTTCACATTTACAATTAGCCACATATCCACTTAACAGTATCATTTAGTCCATTCTTTATCTTATCTACAGGGAGATTATGTAAAACTAACAAATATCTTCTAATATCAGGAGATATCTTTTCTCTTCATTTATTTTTAAGTTCATTTTTTATATTTAATTTCTTTATTTGTATATATTTTACATCAGATATAGTCCCCATAGACTTTCCACCTCCAATTCACCTGTGTACCATCACCTAAGTCCTTTGTGCACTTCCCACACTCATTTTTCACCCTCCCCTTCCCCTGCAGAAGATATATGATTTCTAGTTATCTGATTATAATTTAGTTTTGTTTTCACTTTTTGTCATTTTTTTTTCCTGGAGTCCTTATTTGGTTTACCTATATTCCTCTTATAACTGAAACCATCTGATATTTTTATTTTTCTTTCTGACTTATTTCATTGAGCATAATCCCTTCTAACTCTATCCATGTTACCACAAATGGCAGATTATCTCCTTTCTGCTGCATAGTAGTCCATTGTGTATATATATATATACCACATCTGGAGCCAATCATTTATTTTTAGTCATTTGGGTTGTTTCCAATTCTTATCTATTATAAATTGTGCTGCAATAAACACAGGGGTACAGGTGTCCTTTTGGATTATTATTTTTTTTTTTTGCATCCTTTGGGTAGATACCTAGGAGTAGAATTGCTGTGTCAAATGGCAACTCCATGTTTAGTTATCTCAGGAACCTGCACACAATTTCCCATAGAGGTTGGACTAGTTTGCATTCCCACCAGCAGGGTAGGAGAGGTGCTTTTTTACCAAACCTTGCCAATATTCATTGTTGTTAGTTTTTTTAGAGTTCTTAATGAGTGCCTACTTGCCAATCATCTCTAGTCAACATTCTTTTGCAATCACACCTCAAGCAATGGATCTGTGTAAATATTTGTGTGCAATTTTATGTTTATATACTACAACACATATAAAAAGTGAACTCTAGGGAAACTTTTGAAAACAAAACATACATGAATTTTTTAGTTTGCTTGCTACTAAAATAATTTTATACTGCTTGTGGAATGTAAATATTCTTTAACTTTTCTATTCTATACATCCTATTTCATACTTACTAAGCTTTAGTCAGGTAAGCCACTCTTGAGGAAAAAAAAAGAAAAGAAAAGCATCTTTCAGGATCTAAAAAAGCAAAACTTCTAAAAAAATAAAGTACCATAAAAATCAATTTTAAAAAATCTACTAATGTACCACAGGGGACAGAGTTCATGCAAAAATTAGTTGTGTCATTAAGACCTTCAAAACATATCTGTAAACCAAAAACAACAAAAAATAATTCTTTAGGTTTGCTTATATCTCTGCATCTACATAAGGACACAGATATGCATAATACTTGATAAATAGTAGGTTTGACAAATAATTGGTGAATGAATGAAGGAATGTTGCTACCTTACTGTACACATTAGGAAACTAAATCCTTGTATCTCTTTTACCTCCTTCAGTCTGATTTCCATGTTTTAAAATGACTCTCTTGAACTCTTGTCATTTGTGGCAACACAAATGGAACTAGAAGCAATTATGCTAAGCAAAATAAGGAAGGAAAAAGACAAATGCTGGATGATTTCACTCATATGTATATTATAGAGAAACAAAACAAAGAGTCGGACAAAACCGAACCAGAATCAAACTTTAGGAATATGATTGTAAAAGTAAGGCCAGAAGGGGTATGTGAGAGTAAAAGGGGTAAGGCATCCAAAGGACTAAGTGAATGGCTATAAGCCTCTGGTGGTGGGTAGTGGAGTGGTAACCTGAAGGGGTATGAACCTCTATCTTAAATCATATACATCACTATATACCAGTACTACCCCAGTATGGAAAATTAGCTAAGAAAACATTAATTAATTAACCACAGACTTACTTAGCCAGTGGATATTTTCAGTCCTCATTGAGGGTGACCCTTCAGCAACATCAGCTCAGCTTAATCTCTCCAACCTCTATTACTAGGCTCTGATACTCCCTTGGATTTTTCTTAATACTTTCCAGTCACTTTCCTCAGTCATTACATCGCCCTGTTCATCTTTTTTAAGTCCACTCTATGTTCTCTACTACAAAATTTCAACCAAGATCAAGGTTTCAATTACATCTATTTGCTGATAACTCTCAGATTCAAATATTCAACCCAGGGTTGCACAACACTTCTTTTCCAGTATCTCCACTTGGGGAGCAAGTCTTGCCATTTGTGAACTTTAATACAACCTATTTTGAGTAAAGTCATATTTATACAATTATATATACTATTGAATATATGAAAGAGTTACACTTTCTTGTCTCCAAACTTTCTCAGCAAATAATGTCTCTGCTTACCCATCTTTATCACTTCCCTCCCACTCCCTAGATCTAATCAATCATCTTGTGAAACTGACTTAATACTTATTTTTCCAATCCACACCCTTCTCGCTGGCCCCCTGCCACCATTCACTTCTTTTCTTTTCTGGCAGAAGAGCATTAGTTAGCAGCTTCCTGATTACTCACATCCTCTTTTGTCCCCCTCTGTCCAATCTAGTTTTCTAAACACTCAGTAAACCACTGGCATACACCAAACTATTCCACGCAAGAACAAAAATCACTAAAAGATAAAAAGAGAACCAGTGTGAAGACTGGAAGAAACAACAGGAAGATATCAAATCCTCATGTGTAATCTAAGCTGTTTCAATAGATTTTTTTTTAATCAACTTTCCGTAGCTTTTTGTTTACTTTTGAAATCTTTTAGTTTCATTTATCTTGAAATAAGTTTAAAATTATTTTTAAAAGAATCACTGTGCTGGTACACGATTTTGTTCTTTACTGAAAGTGTTCAGAGTTTACCAAGACTTAACAGGAAAACATAAATTTTGACCATCTTTGTACCATGCATAATATGTGGGTAGGTGTGTAATATGTTCAATGTGTGCTACTTCATGAGCATGTGTGCATATTCTGTGCATACTACACTTAAATATAGCCTTACTTCCTTCTACTACTCACTGGTATAATAAAAACAATACTTTGGAATAGTTTCATTATAGCAAAGAGAAGATTCTTTTGCATATAAGACTTAATTCACTCAAGTTTCAGTAATGCTAAATGAATGATCATCACACAGAATAAACTAAATCAGCCCAACAGGGACACCACTGCATACATAGTTTCCTAACAGAGATAGCCCTTAGTTAGCTGTTACTGAAGGTTCATCAAGATCTTATTTCTTATGTCTTTTAAGAGCTATTAGTTTGAGTTACTAAGGAATTAGCAGAATTATTAACAGTAATAGTTCCACTTCTTATCACTGACGTCTTTCACTAAATTAAATACTTACTCGTCTAATTATTCTGAGCTACTATTTGCTGTATTCTAAATACTAGAATGTGCTTCATCTTACACATCCAAAACTATATTCCTTTAAAAAGAATTAAGGACAAAACATAAGATTAACAAGCATTTAAATATAAAAATTATAGATTAAAGGTAAATATAAAAATAAAGTAAGTAATATTGACATATGTATTTATTTTCCAAACTAGGTCAAGAAGACAAATGTTATCATTTCAAAGAGTAAAAAGTATAGAAAGAATGGCATGTGTAGTCATCTTAATCTCAGTTTTTCCTCACAGGCTAAATTTTCAGTTAAGAGAATGCCAGGTCAACTGCAGAGTTTATGTGTACATTTACCTCTGGCTAAGTGCCTTTAAGATGGTAATGACTTTACATTTTCTAAATGTAATTACACAGTAATCTGCTGTAACTGAATTAGCCTATGGCTACATAGCTTTTATTGACAAAAACCAGTGAGGAGCCAAATAATTAAAGAGAATTATATTTCCACAAGCCACAATACATACTTTAAGGCTGTGTACCTCCTGAAATTGCTCCTGAAATAGAGAACTTAGAAACAGAAGCAATTTCTCTCTCACATTGAGCCAGGAGCCATGCACTGACTAGTTCTTGTTTTCTCTCAGCAGCATTACGAAGTGGTGCAGATATTATGCCCATTTTATCAAAGAAAGAACACTGAATCTTAGAGACAGCAAGTAACTTGCCCACAACACTAAAGAGTCATACATTCAACAAAGCTAGGCCAGTTAAAAAAAAAAAAGCTTCAGAATGTAAATTCTTAAGTTTCCTCTATATTTTCTACATACATTATAAATCAACACATTTAATTCCCTCATGAATAAACAAGTGCTTGCTCAGATTGGGAAAGAGCTTAATAAATATGGGACAGAGTTGGCTGAACAATGCTAGTACCTTTCCTTCTTCATCACATGGAGTGTGGATTTGGAAATAGTCTTTGGTGGTACAGGGAGGGCGCTCTGTACACTCACTGGATCCTTCCTCTGTAACATAAAGTGTATTTCAGAAATGAATTGTTTCCTTTGTGTCTAAGAAAAGGCAAAACTCAAAACTCAACAAAAAGCAAACAAGTAAAAAGTGAAAATAATGTTACTCAAGGAATTTAAATAGAACAAGCTAAATTAAAGAAAATATAAATTTATATTTTCATTTCACTAAAAATAATATATTTTGCCTAATACACAAGGAGTACATCATAGTTTATCCAAAAATATATTAGATGTCTTCCATTATCACTGAGCACTGGAAATCTGGCACAAATTAAACTGTTCTAAGTATGAATCACCTAAAAATACAGTAAGAATTTTTAAGGTTAGTATAAATGCATCCAAAGCAGTTACCTATGGGGTGTGGAACAGGAAAAAAAAAAAAAGGAAAGTCATGAAGGAAGGACTATTAACTCATATTCAAGCTATTCACTAGATATCCACTTCATCACTTTCGTTCTAATCCAATTACCCATCACACTTTGTGTAGGATTTCAGGCTTATGGCTATATAGTTGATTGACATAAGTTTAGAAAGAAAACAACCCGGTGTACAACTTCTTCTTACCTGAAAACTGGGACTCCTCTGCACATTTTATGCATTCTTTGGCTCCTTTCTCAGAGTAAGTGTTTCTGGGGCAAACTTGGCAGTTGAATGAACCCGGTTTGTTGCTGAAGGTGCCTGGCTTGCACGGAAAGCATTCTGAGGTGTAAGCCACCCCTGTGTGGAAATGAGGACAGCATCAGAGGTGGGTCCAACAAACACAAGCTTTATTCAACACCAAGGAAGTATTCACTATGTGGGAGAATCCATGTGAGATACTGAAAAATACACAAGTAAAGCAAACACTTAAAGGAGAGTCTCAGGTATGATTAAAGTATAGTAAAATATAGCAAATGAATTGTCAAAGGTAACTAACTGTGCTCACTCAGAAGGATAAACTCTTAGGATGCTTCTAGGTTTAAAAGTCTACTACTCTCTTATCTTTGTGGCTATTTGTTCCCTTTTCCTTCACTGCTCATTCTGTCACAAGCAAGATCTACCAGACACTAGAAATGGTTTATTCTGGATTGTAATTCCAGTGTTTGCCAGCAGATGTCCCTGTTATTAATGAATTAGTGACAAGACTAAGCACACTTGCAACAAATTAAAATATAAGGCAAATTTTAATAAAGGAGAATCATTGCTTTAATTAAAAGAAGGCCTAATTGAGAATGAAAAATTTCAGAATTTAATGGACACTCTCGTGGGCCAGAAAAGGCCCAGATGATTCAGAGAAGTATAAGAGGTTTAGTAGATAATCGGACAGAGATGATTACTTTATTATTTTGGGGAATATATCAATGATCTGGGTAAGCTTCATGCTTGGCATAATAGACAGACAACAATATCTTATTAAGAAATATTATTTTATTTTATTCAAAGATATGAACATCATATATTTGTTTTAACACAGATTAGGCAGACACAAACAAAAGAAAGAAACCCATCAACCTGCCATAAAGAAAAAGAAGTTTTTTATAGCCAGAATATTTCTATGTATGAAGCCTAACATACTAATTCCTTTCCCATTTACCCTTGAGCAAACAATTTAACAGAAAATTTACTAGATGAGTACTAAAATAGATTACCATGAAATACCTTCAATTGTAATATTTTTTACCAACACTGGTTTGACCGCCTTAGAGCCCATAAGGATGCCTGTAGTTCTCCAGTATAGTATGTTTGTGCCTGATTTAAGCATGACCTGTTAAAAAACATACACTGGTAAGATGAACCATAGTACTTCCAAACACATATGAATGAATACTTCATAGACATTTTCGATAATTTTTATGAAACACCCTAATTTGAAGCTTCCCATTTAAGTATACTGTTAATTCAGCCCTAGGTTCTGCTGAAGTTCTTATTTTCTTAAAAAAAAGGTCAAAGTTGGTAATCTAATAAATATAGTGGTAAAGAAAGAAGAAAAAACCTAATCTGAACAAATGATGAGGTGATTCAGACTATGTGCATAAAGTCTTTATGTACATTTAAAAGCAACTCAGAGGGCAAAAGGCATTCAGCTCACTTGTATATTTATATGCTGCCACAATTCATAAGTAGGTCTTTGACCTCTGAAAGCAAATAGGAAACAGAATAAGTTTGCTTCCTTTTTAAAATTATTTAATAAGCAACAAAGGTAGCATCAACAAGGGAAAAATACAACTATCCTGACAGAATAACCTGACTTAAATGACACTATGTCTAGTACCTGCTTTCTCTCCCACTAGCACATTTTTCTAACTAAAATCAAATGACTTTCCTAAGGAAATTTCATGCTGATTCAGGCATGCAAACTAATTTTAAGGGCTCCTTGCTTTCTCATTTGCCACCCATATTCTTCTATGCAGTATCTAGCTGGCCAAATTCAAGCTGCATGAAATTAAACATATTCAACTTGTTCACCCTGCCAGAGTCAGAGAAGTAGTGCATTAAAGACTTTCTCCTTATTTATAATTGAAGAGAGAATATTTGTTGCCAAGGGTTACTTGTAATTTCAAAGCTCATCTGAATGAATTCCTAGGTGAATGGATCCTAAGTGGTACTAGTATCATTTCTAGGCAGACAGATTAAAATAAAAACTCAAAAAGAGTACATTGTGTTCACTGCTCCAGGTTGAGGCACCTGCTACAACACAAAGGATGGATTGTTGTTTCTGGAAAGAGTTCAACCTACCCTGCAAGGCATGGTACCCCAGCCCTCCCTATGTCACCTCATTTAACACTGTGAAGTTACTCCCATTTCTCACATGAAAAACCATACTCGAAGAGATTAATCAGGTGCCTAAAGAAACAGAACTATTATATGCCAGAGTTAGATTTTAAATTCATATCTCACTCCAAAGGGACAGTGTTCAAATGCTAACAATGATTCGCTAACTGCACTATCTAATAACGGCCTTCAAATATCAAGTGTTCTTTGGTGATGCAGCAGGTCACATTTTACTCTATGTGATCAGAGAGGCTAGAACTTGACAAATAGGGCCGATGGTAAGATGTGAGTTTAGGTTACAATAGTGGATGATTTTTTTGATAATCAGAGCTGTCTAACAATGGATTCAGCAGAGCTCCCAACAAAACAAGCTTGGAAATCACTTGCCACAGAGACTGTAGTAAGGTGAATAAAGGGAACTCAAGGATCCTGCCAATGAGAGTCACTGATTTTCCCCCCTGACAAAGGCACATCTCAAAATTTACAACTTTTTCCTCTGGATAGAAATTGTCTAAATTAACAAATAATTTCATTTTTTTTAATGTAAAGATTGGGAAAAGAAAAGTACAAGAGCAGAGTTGGTGAGAAAGTAGAACAAAGACAGACTTACAGAATGAGAGCCCCATTCTCCATTGTCTGTGAGTTTCACCCACTTATCAGCGGTGGTGTCCATCTCCTGGCACTGATCGTTTTGAATCTGTGGCACAACACAAGGACCTCAGTAAAGTTTCTTGAATAATGGCTTTTATTCAACTGTTAATGCACAAAAGGAGAGGCTACAAGAACTTCTTTCAACACATACTAAGAAATAGCCACTAGAAATTCTCAAGCAATAAACACAGTAAGGCCGGTGGAGTCTAAGTGACAGATATAAGACATAAGACAGTGGTTCTAGGTAAACCACCAGTACTTTTTTTAAACAAAAGGCTAACCTAGAAAGAAGTAGGGAAAAGGAATGAGAGAGGGAGGGAGAGAATAGCTAACAGTGAAAATTCACATAAAGAAGAAAAAGTGATAGTAGAAATCTACCCAATTCATCAAAATTTTAATAGCTTATGTTCACCAGGCAGGCCCAATAGTAAAAAATATTTATTTTAAAATATTTGGGGCAATAAAATTTAAAATTATAAGTAAATTAAATTTGCTTATTTTTAGTTCCCTTGTACTTAATGACAATTTTTAGGTAAGTGAATAATGCCAAAGTCAACATTCCAAATTTTTATTTGGGGTAAATGTTAATCACTTGCCTTACTAATTCAAATGACTGCAGTTAATATCACTATACCAAACATTTTGAACTTTTCAGACAATTATTATAAAATGCCTAAGAATTAAGACACTTCTTTTCTGAGCCTATGAAGAATACAAGGATAGCAAAAATTAGGCCATCTTTATAATATTGCATGAGTAGTCAGCTAACAGAGTGGCATTAAAATAAAAGCTATCACCTGCTTTTATTTTATTTTATTTATTTTATTTCTCAGCTAAATCACTTTGCCACTTTACTTTTCCTCCTTGTCAGTTTACAAACAACATTAAAATGTCTTCCTAAGAAGTATTTCCTAGAAACTTAATAGAAAATAGATTCTTTAACCCTACAAATGTCAAAGAGTATCAGCTACTCAAGATATTTGCTTTAAATGATTTTAACTGCTACTTACAATGACCATCATACATGTGAAGCCATTTTAAAACAGATATGGAAAACATCTTTGGTGATTACTGTTTGAATAAGCTGAAAAATTTTCAGCTTCAATCAGAGACTAGTACTTGACATTCTGGAAGTCTGAGTTCTGCTATTAATATTAAAAATAGTAAAGGTAGCTCATTCAATCACTTCATTCAATCACTTACTCTTTGTAGGTTTCAGGTTCATCATTATAAAGAAAGTCAGGAGAGCACAGAACCAAAGATCTGCTTAATTCTAAAATACTTTAGTTGCTTTATATTATGTAATACCTATAGATAAGCCTGCATCCTCCAGTCTTCAGCCATTGCCTTTCCAAACAAACAATAGCATAATACCAATGAAGTTTTGACCATTTGACTAAAATAGCTGCAACCATAAAACTGAAACAAGAAGGAAATACATGACCTAATCATCCCTCTTCAGTCTAAAACCAGAATAAAGGTATCATTGAAAAGAAGTAATGAATTTCAGGCCTTTAGGAGTAACTTTCTTGCTTTCTTGACAACTCTCAAAGAACTTAATGGATAACACAAAATTAAATCTTTAACAAGTATGTAATTACTTTGGTGTTTAACTTTGTTTAGTTTTAATAATATTGCAAAAATAGCCCATGGATTAGAAAATTTTTTACTGTGAGCAGTATTTTGCAACAAAATGTAGCTTAAAAAGCAAATCTGTTTGAATGTTGCTAAACATTATACTTTCGAAAAGAATATTAGCTATAGAAGTCTCCTTCGAAGGTCTTGTCACACAATACGCTTTATAAAAGAGTTGAGGGGTGGCAAGTTAACTTAATTGCCAAACAACAAAAAATAGCAAAACAGAAGCAGAGCAGGATTCTATCATGAGGACTATCACTTCCTGAGAAACTTTTGATTTAGAAATTTCCACAATAAAAAGAACAATTAAAATTGTTTAAGAATGAATATATTTGCAGGACCTCCCTGATGGTACAGCAAGTTAAAGCCTTGCACTTAAAGCCAAGGTTGCTTCAGTGTGAGTTCTACCCTCGCCCCAGAGGTGACCCACATGGTGCAGCAGACCTCTCATATCTCGCCTGTTGCTCCCCTCAGCAGTGTACTTCATCCATCTGACTGTTCTGCTCTCTACTCTGACTCTGCTGAATCCTCTCACTGCCCCTTCACCTCTGGCCTGTACCCCAGTTCTGATGTACAAATAAATAAATCTTTTTAAAAAATGAATGAATATATTTGCTTCTGAGATCTGGACCAAAGAAATTTCCTTTAAGATGTTTTCTCCAGTTACTTGCACAACACACATTTTGAAGTTTTTTTGTTTTTGTTTTGATATAAGAAATCAATATGAAAACAATTCCTCATGTATTTGAGTAACTACCATAAAGACATTTGCTATATTAGAAATAGTTTATATTATACAGTCAAAATTTTAATAGTAGCCATCTATTTTGTTAGAATATTATCTTAGTTTATATTTTAGAATATGACTTAATCACTATCACATGAAATTTTACATGAATGTGACTTAAAAAGTAAATTCCAGAATATGAAAGACCTTACAAAAAATTCAAAGAAGATGTTGTTGTCGACATACTGGTACTCAAAGAAGACATAACCTGACTTCTTCAGGTGCACTGCATAGATCAAAGACACCGTGCAGTCGTCACGATTCGACTCTATGTAGTTTCCACGTGGGGTCCAAGAAGAACTGAGGAAACAAAAACCAGGCAGCATTTAACATTAGCATTCAAAATCCCTTTCTACTTACAAGTTACGTAACTCAGATTCAAAAGTAATTCCATGAGCAAGGCAGGTTTACTGGAAATCTAAAGCCAACCATTTCTGCAGAACAGTACATTTAATACAGCAAATAACTTCTTACATCTTGGGAATGTTATGTGTTAATTTTCTATGAAACAAACCCAAAATTAGATGACTAGATGACCACTAATTTTTAATAGACTCAGGTGGAATTATTCTTTCAAACAACATTTTCAGTTTTACTTATGAACATAACATGTAGCTGGGAGAGAGGTAATACTGTGCTACAAGAGAAGAAATCTTATAGAAAGCCCAATTAATGATCCTAAATATGGTGGCAGGCAACTCGACTTTTATGGACCATTATACTATATAATGTGTTTAAAAGTCATATCACAATGCTGTATACCTGAAACCTATATAATATTATAAATCAATGTTACTTCAATGAAAATTAAAATAGAAATAATTAAAATAAAAATAAATAAAATACATATCACAATTTCATATCTACAATAGAGGTAGAATTCTGATATGATTTTTTATCCAAAAAAAATGGAACTAAATTTTAAGAAAATATATTGGGGAAAAAGATTTTGGTTGTAAATCCCATAAACTAATTCATAGAATTATCACATGGGTCACATATTGAAATTTTATGCAAAAAAATCTAACCAACTGAATGCTAGCACAACTTACTATCCTCCTACTCATTTTAACTTTTATATAAATATGAATACTGAGATTTTTGCCAAATCCTTTTCTTCTATCTACTAAAAAAATGTTTAAAGACTGAGACTTTATATTCAGACATACTAAAAAGAAAAAAGTCAGCCTCATTATTCCTAATGACTTTCCCAAAAAAAAGACTTTTTTCAATTTACTTTATAATCCCAATCAATACCCGTATTATCCACAACTTCATTTTGGAAAAGAGCAACACACCCTCCTAAGTCAAGATCCACAGGCCCCTCTGGACTCTTACTTGTTACAGCCGTCTGGCCTACTATCAGAAGGGCCAACCACAGTGTCCATGAACGTCGCAATGTTGGAAAATCCAGCTGGTAATTCATCCCATTCATCAAATTTAATACCACTGCCCAAGGAGTAGGTACCTTCTTCACATTTACTGCAAACCTGGTTCTTCATTTCTAGATATTCTCCAGAAGCACAGGAGAAAGCTGGAAGGCAGAAAAATGTTTACCCCATTAGTCACTACACTCTGCCATCATTTCCTTCTCTTTCACACTGACATCAGAAGTATAAAGCTCTGATCTGCTACACTCTAAGTCAAACTCCCCAAAGTTTGTCTCATCAGTAAACATACTTCATAATCAGACCTCGACCAATTTTTCTAGGCTCATCTCTCTTCCAACAGTTATATCAGTTCCAAACTACTTTATGCCTTTATTTGCTATGTGCTCTTCTTTCTCTGAAGAGCTCTATCTGGAAAATTTTTCCTATCTCAAAAATTATTTATAACAGACATCTCTGTCCCCATTAGACAATTGTGTCTCCCTTCTGAGCTCCCAGGATACTCCTTTGATAATGCCTCCATTAAAGCTCTTGTTGTGTGTGTGTGTGTACATTTACATCTTAAGTATGTGTGTATGTACCACTCACCAATTGACACTAAGATTGCAGAAAATAAGGATCATTATTTTTTGATTATTTGCATCTGGCAAATATTAAGTCCAAATAAAAGATTGATCCAGTGGATGAAAATAAAACATAAAGGGGAAAAGAGGAGGGTAGAATACCTAATAAGCCTCTCCAGTTTGAAACTATGAGCATATTTGTTCAATATTTGCAACTCCAAACTAGTCATTTCCATAACCTACATCTTCTTAATGATGTCAAGTTCTATGCTGATGCTGAGAACTATACCCAGAGATTGCAGGCATAGTCAGTGTGAGAAAGTTGACACAATTACAGAAAAGAAGGCAGTCTGGCTGCTAAGCTATTGTTAATTCAACAACTCAAATCTATGTTCCCCAAGTGTGTGCCTCTATGCTCATGTTGGTATTAGCAACTCAAATATAGCAAAAGGTTTTCTAATCCTTTAATCAAGATACTAAAGGAATAAGAGCAAAATAAAACCTCCAATTTATCTGAAGAAGAAAAACAAATCCCCAGCAAAGTACACAGCAGCAATGTCTCACATTTGGTAGATGCTTCCTTTAGAATACATTTAGAAACTCAGCAAGAAATACAGACTAACTTTGAAAACATAATTCAAGAGTTAGAGCTAGAACACACACTTGTTTATCTACTTCCCATTAAAGAAAAGTTTTTCCTTAGATAGACTTAAGATACTATACAATGAACTTTTTACTCTGAATTCAATATTAGCAAATTAATAAATCAACAAAAATCAGAGAGGTTCAGGCAAAGAATATTGCAGGGTGACTACAAGGTCAAAACTATACTGAGACCAGGTACCACTTTCTAATTGCTTAGTGGGTTACTTCATATCTCTGGGCCTCAATGTCTATCTTTAAAAAATGAAATAATGATCATCATACTGTCACACAGTGCTACATTGAAAAGATAAAGTTTAGTAAAAGTAGTTAACACAATGGCTAGCATATAACAAATGCTCTCTACAAGTTATTGTTGATGCTACAGCACTACCAACAGCCAGATCTGGGGAAAGTTTTATTTCTATGGCTCAGGAATCTTTCAACAAACTTGGAATCCAACATATTTCCCTAACATGACTAGTAATATCATAAACTAAGAGCCAGCACTACACTAAATCGAGGGCCAATAAATTACAGCCAACAGGCCAAATTCCTCATGCTGTTTTTTTTTTTTTTTTAAGATTTATTTATTCATACAGAACTGGGGTACAGGCCAGAGATACGGAGGGTGAGAGAATTCACCAGAGACAGAGTGGGAAGCAGAACAGGCAGATTGACGAAGTACACTGCTGAGGGGAGCAGCGGGCGGGTCAGGAGCGGTCTGCCACGCCATGTGGTCACCTCCGGGGCAGGCGGGAATCGAACTCATGCGGAAGTGGCTTTAGCTTCTCAGTGCTGTGCTTTAACCCGCTGCGCGACCAGGGAGGGCCCTCCTCATGCTGTTTTTTGTAAATAAAGTTTTATAACTACACAAACACAACCATTCATTTACATTTAGCTTAGTGCTGCTTTCACACCACAGTGGTAGAGCTGAATAGTCTTGACAGAGTTATCTTAGAAGACAAGTTAGTCTTGTGTCCAAAATTGAACTTTTAAATTAATAAGTAATAGTTGATAAATTGATATACGGGATTCAAAGCTAAAAAAGAAAAGTGAGTTTGTGAAACTTGTCTTCTAAATAGAATATTAGTATTTCAGAGTATTCAGAGATCTGTTATAATCAAAACCATTAATACTATCCCTAATTCTTTCAGCAGTATTTCCTTGTCTAAAACCAGAAGGAAATACAGTTAAAAGTAAGTATATTGAGCAATATTTCATGGTCAATTCTTTGTATTCATAGGATTCACCTAAATTGTCACAAACACTAAATTAACCAATGCTAAATCATTGCTCCTAGGAAAATGGCAGGTTGTTTCCTGATAAATATATAACCTTGTTCTGTGTGTTTCCATTTTAGAGCAACTTATTATATATTGTTTATTCAATACCACTGAATTTATGGTCTGGAGAACTACAACTCATAAGTTAACTAAGCTTATTAACACATTCATTTTATCTAAAAGGTACATCACAGTCTGTGAACTTTGGATCACTAGTCAGCATTATGGGTTCCACTTTAAAGAGTAAAATTTACCAAAAGGAAGCACAAAAATGAAGGCAACATAGCACTAAATAGACTATGAAAAGGACATCTTTTGAAAATATAAGAAATAAGAAGATAGTATGTCATCTTGTTCGAGTTCTGCTGGGACCATGTGGTCTAGTGATTCAAAGTGCACTGCTCTACACTTATCTGCAAATGGCCATGAAATTATAATATGTGTTGATTTGGGGATTAAAAAATAAGATTTGGCAAGTAGCCAAAATTTCAAATATGAAATCCATGAATAATGATAATCAATTATATTTATAATAGACTTGTGGGGAAAAAGAATGCTATGCCCATTTAACAGATGAGGAAACTGAGGCACAGTATTTTTAATTATCCCAAATATACCCAGTTAACCAGTGGCAAAGTTGACATTCCCATTTAAGTCTGATTCCAAACCAGGTGGCCCATGAAAATTTAACTCAGACATATATTAGTATAAACAATGCAAAAAAGGGCAAGAAATTCTATCTGAATTCATTATTTCATATAATTGTCATTACCACCCTGAACTATTATGCAATAGTTGTGAGCATTATAAAGCGCTAGCTACTACTCATTCTCAGATTTCTTGTGAATTTTTAACATGTTATAGCAAAAAAAACCTTCAAATAATATTTATAAAGTTACTACCTGTCTATAGCTCATTGTCTCTCATCTATGAAAGGAAGATGGTATTATCTATCCCAAAGAGTTGTGGGAATAGGTACTACATATAAAGCATTCAGCAATATGCCTAACATAAAATATACAGCTAATGTTAGGTACAATTATTAATAATGCAATTCAGGGATTTGGACAATATGAATTCTGCTGCTAAAATGATCATTATTATTTGCCACTAATTATTCATCAGAATAATTATTAATCAAAATAGTCCAATGGGTATGTACAACAATGAAGGAGACCTAAAGTGTCTAAAGCTTTTTCCACTTACTCATTTGCTACTCCCATCCTGGAAGCCAGCTCTCAAACACATATCAAAGGAAGAAAAAGCCATACATTTTTGTTAAACACAATTTAGTTCATGTTATATCAACACAATAAGCACTGCTGACCTCTCGGCAATCATTAATGACCAACTCTTCCTTTTATATATAAGAATTTCTATCATTTTAGGGTCTACACTTTTTATTCAAGGTTTTATATCGAATATAAAATGGGATTCCTTTAACAAAAGTTGGATGTAGACAATTATTATAAATAACTGTTGTAACCACTGTAAATGTGAGTTGAAAATATTTCAGCTAAACATGTGGTCATTTCTAAAGCAAATACTATTTTTCTTCAACAACCTCAAAATGCCAAGGTAACTGAATGGAATTAAAGACAAACAAACTCCAAAGTTCTGATATGAGAACAGAAAGACATTATTTGGGTAAAGTTACACAGTATTAAACAGTAGGCTCAAGCTGGGTTTTCACAATATCTCAACTACACAGTAAGCAATGTTTAAAACCTACCCTCTTGAAGTCTAAACCAGGTCATGTGTTAAATTTAGTGTTAATTTTCTTAGCTCTATTCCCCTTCTTTTTTACTATTTTTTTTAAAGATTTATTTATTTGTGCATACAGAACTGGGGTACAGGTCATAGGCTCAGGGGCCGTGAGAGGCTTCACCAGAGACAGAGCGGGGAGCAGAACAGGCAGATCGATGAAGTACACTGCTGAGGGGAACAGCGGGCGGGTCAGGAGAGGTCTGCCACGCCATGTGGTCACCTCTGGGGCAGGCGGGAATCGAACTCATGCGGAAGTGGTTTTAGATTCTCAGTGCAGGGCTTTAACCCGCTGCGCCACCAGGGAGGGCCTCCCCTTCTTTTTTAACATTTATTTCTGCCTCTTTGGATCAATAAATGTTGAACTACGCAGGTATGAAAAATAAGATATGAAAAAAGGTATTTATATTAGTTTGTCTCCAACCAGCAAGTAGCTGAGGCAATTTACTTAACTCTCTGTGCTACCAATTACTCACATTTCAATGAGAATGCCACTTTCCAATCTTCCCTCACTGGATTGCTTATGGTCTTGAAAGACTACTCTGCAGGTAAAGTGACATGGAAATTCAAAACACTGCTCTGATCATTTAACCACGTGGGACAATGTATCAAAAAAATGGCTACTAAGCTAAATCATTTATATGCTGATAATCATCTGTGATTTGTACCTAACAATAAGGAACATCTATTTTTAATTTTTTCACCACAAGGGCCTCTTAATTTTGTTTTCCTTTCCTCCAGAAACTGCATGTTTCCACAGATGATGGCTATCAATTACATTTACTCATAATTCATCCATTTTTCTATTTTAATCAAAGTTCTTTATTACTGAAATGTGTCTTCTAAATGTCATATAGAAATTTAGTAGTAAAAGGCTTTGAATGTACTCAT